CCATTGTGTGATTTTGCGCTGGCTCTCCGAAGGTCCAGTTCTCTCTAAAAGTGTCTGATGCTCAACGGCTGCAGAGAATCGATCAGAACCAGACCAGAACCGGACCAAGGCTGGTGAGTACCCATATAAAATTTTGCAGTACTGTGTAGTACTTATACATATATTGTTAAAATGACACAGGTTTAAGAGTTTAGTACATTGTAAGAGTGTGGGAAGGGTTCATAAAGCCTTAAAATATATTTAAATACTAAAATAAATATAACGTCGCTACTTAGCAAAATTTAACTTACTGCGGGTGAGTTCGGAACCGAACCCCCTCAATAAACGAGGGACTATTGTACCTCCACAACTTACCGACTTTTGGAGCTAACCCAATTCAAGATGCCCACCACAACAAACGCAGACTCTGAGCTCTACTCATCGTACAAGATACTGGCCTAAAACAGCAAAGCAGGTGTTTTCAGCTTCTACACGGAAATGTATTTTGGATCAACCCACTATCAGTGGGTCACCACAGTGAACTAACTCGCATGAAGACTTGGCAGTTATTTTTACGTCGGATGTCCTTCCTGATGCAACCACAGACACCGAGCTACCACAGCTCTCTATGTGGAGCAGAGAGCTGCTATCTAGGGCACCCAGGGGAGCAGATGGTGGAGGTTAAGGGCCTTGCTCAAGGGCCCAGAGTGGGGCAAATGAGGGTGGAGGCAGGTGTAGGTGTTTCACCGTTCACACCCACATTTTGATGTTGTCGGTGCGGGGAGTTGAACCGGTGGCCTTCTGATCACAGGCCCACCTTCTCTAACCTCTGCACCACCACTCCCCTTTCCTGAAATAAAAAAATACACCACATGTTTTTCATGGTAAATTTAGTTAATTCACATAGTTCTTTTTTTTCTGCTGTATAAAAGAGCATTTTAAACTTTTATTTTAAATTCAAAAGTTGTTTCATATGTCACTGATTGACAATTCAGTTTAGTTTAGTTTATTTATATAGCGCCAAATCACACCAGAAGTCATCTCAGCAAGTTAGGAGGGGGTGTTGGCCTAACTTTCATATTATTCATATGGGGTTAGGTGTAGACTAAAGGTTTTATTACAAAGAAGTTACAAGTTTCTTTGAAAGAATAAAACTAAAATTTTGCTTAATGCGTTTTGTTAATGAAAATATAAAAACAATACCTTTCTCTTCTCCTTGATGGCTTTAAAGAACTGGGACATCTCAGGATGCAGCATGCAGGGGTGTGTGGTCAGAACAGGCAAAGCCAATTCAGCACAGTTCAAGAAAGTGTAACTTCTCGACTTTAAACTGAGATGTTACTGTGAAGAGAACCGTTTGGATTTGGAAGAGAACATTCAAGTGGAACTGTGTGAATGCTTTTGGATAAGTTCCTTTACTCTGACTGACATAAAGGAAGGTGGGAGAAATCCTGACTTTTGGTTGGTGCCCAAACCAACGTATACCAACATGTAGCCACATGTACCCCAAAAAGTTAAGTCAGGTCATCTGGATGGATTTTTGTTGGTTGAAACATTTCTGCAAAAGACTTCATCAGTCTGAGGCTTGCCAACAAATTCAGTCCTATAAATAGCACCTTCTCACATTCTTTTTTTTTTTTTTGTACTAATAGTGCTTATCAGTCTAGTGGTTCTACACTTAATGCTCCTCAACCTCCTTCCTGAGGGGAGTGGGGCAAAAAGTGTGTGTGCTGGGTGAGTGGGGTCCTTCATGATGCAGGTGGTCCTCTTCCTGCATCTGGAGGTGTAGATATATGTGATGGTGGGGAGACTGACTCCAACAGTTTTCTGTGCAGCCTTCACCACTCTCTGCAAAGCTTTTCTTTCTGCAGCTGTGCAGCCTCCATGCCACACGTTGATGCTGGAGCACAGGATGCTCTCCACTGCACACCTGTAGAAGGAGGTGAGGACTGAGCTTCCCAGACCGGCTCATCTCAGCTGCCTGAGGAAGTAGAGTCTCTGATGAGCTTTCTTGATCAGGCTGGTGGTGTTGTTGCTCCAGCTGAGGTTGTCATTCAGGTGCACACCCAAGTACTTGTAGCTGGAGACCACCTCCACTGCAAATTCTCTTATTTTCAGGGGGTGCAGGTGTGTTTGTTCCTTCTGAAGTCCATAACCATCTCTTTTGTCTTCTTCACATTGATGTGAAGGAGACAAATAAAAATAAGTAATAAGATCTTAGATGTCATTCCCGTTTTTTATTTTATTTTATATTTTTGTTGAATGTAACTGGGACCCTGTGTACACAATTTCATTCCACCACATGTGGTGCACCTGACAAATAAAGAAACTTTGACTTTAATTCAAAGAGAATCAACCAATTAGCTGGAGACACCCAAAACTAGCTTTTCACATGTAAAAGGAGGACCATCAGTTGAACAAAATTACCAGTAACCTAACTATAGATGAAGAAAGATGAAACGGTTCAACCAAGAATTCATCCAGATGACCTGACTTAACTATTTTGGATTTGTTTACCTGATGACTGAGCATGAATCGGGACAGCCACACACGTCATACACACAAAAGAAATGATAAAACCAGGGATTCCTTATTTCATTCCTTATTTAAAAAGCATATTGGGACAGCTGTGGCCGAGTGGTTAGAGAAGTCGCCCTCCAATGGGAGAGTTGGGGGTTCAATTCCACCAGCAGTCACATGCTGAAGTGTCCCTGGGCAAGATATTGAACCCCTCATTGCCTCCGATGTGTGTCCCCTCGGTGCATGAATGTGATCTAAAGCACAGAATAGTCTTTCTATGGATATAGTAGAATGTTGGGAGTTAGTAAGAGATCATATCTCTCCAGTTTTAGCTTCTCTCCATTGGCTCCGTCAAATCCATAAGTGAATTCAAAATCCTACTTCTAACCAACAAAGTCCTCAACAACCTAGCTCCATCTTATATTACAGATCGTATTGTTCCATATTTTCCTAACAGAGCACTTTGCTCTCAGACTTTATGCTTACTTGTGGTTCCTAGAGTTTTCAAAAGCAGAATGGGAGGAAGATCTTTCATTTATCAGGCTCCTCTATTGTGGAACCAACTTCCAGTTTCTGTCCAAGAGGCTGACACATTGTCCAGTTTTAGGACTGGGATTAAAACTTTCTTTTTTGATAAATCCTATAGTTAGGGTTGGCTTGTTATGCTGCCTTGAGCTTAGACTACTAGAGGACAAATTGACCTCATTTCTTAAATTTACTTAAATTGAATATTTTCATTTGATACTATTTTTATCTTAACATGTGATTCTCGACCTGCCATTGTGTATCTGTTCCTACCAAACCCAGACGGTCAAAGCAGATGGCCACTTGTCCCGAGCTTGGTTCTGCTATAGGTTTCTTCCTCATGAGGGAGTTTTTCCTTTCCACTGTCGCCTTCATGTTTGCTCAAGATGAAAGTTCAGCGATGGAGTTAAACTCAAAGCAGTCTGCTCCTCAGATAATGTTCAATTATTTTTATATACATGAATGTTTCTGTTCAGTGCCCTGAGACGACTTCTCTGTTACTTGGCACTTTATAAATAAACTGAATTGTTGAATAAATGGATAAAAGAGGGCGCAGATTGTAAAGTGCTTCGAGTATCTTGATAAGATAGAAAGGATACAGTCCATTTACAATACTTTTTAATGTCCAAATCTGATCCTTACCTACAATTTGACTAGACTCAATAAAGGACAGTGGAGGACACATTTGGAAAAAAATGTTGCCCATTTTTGTGCCTTTAATGCCCTTCTTATTCACAGGGCACTACTCTTCTGTAATACAACAGTTTGTCAAACTAGTTCAGAATAATGTCAGCTGGCCTGGTTGTCTTGAGACTGACGGGTGAAAAACATTTTGTGCAACACGGCAAACGGTCTGTGTTCATGTACGACACATTTAAACTTCACTTGTAATCTCAAAGGATCCGTAGTCCAGCAGAGTAAACCCAACACTTAACCTCTCCAAAGCAGATCTCTGAGCAGAACTTGTCTTTACATAAAGATCAGCAGCTGTATGACTTGAAACGCTCCCTTCATGCGAAATGTCAAGACTATTTACATTTAAAAAATGGAAAATTATTAAAAAAAAGAACAGTTTTATTAATTTATTAACACATGTACATTAGTTTTCAGTGCTGACAGCATTTGCTACATACTTTGGTGTGATTCAGAGGTGTGTTTAGCCTCATTTACCTTCTTGTGATAAATGCCGACAGAATCAGAAGCACAGTGTACAAACCAGATTTACCCTCACGTTAGCTAGACTATTTCTGTTTACGTCTAAATGTGGTTCATTCCGTCTTCACAAGCATTTACAGGCACTAAATGTTTCTGTAAAGACAGACTGATGTGTGCAGCCTGATTCCCAATCAGCCAAACAAACAGATTCCAGGTAAACAGATATGATACAAAGAGCAGAGCGACTCTAACAGAACTGTTTGACTTTAGTTTGAGTAGAAATCAGTGGAGCAACTCAACATCCACATTACATCAAGTTAGCAAAAGCACAGTTTATGCCAATGCTTCTGCTGCCAACTGAGGTCCAAGGGTCAGGCTAAGCTTCAACATCCCCGTCTCCTACAAACAAAACAAATGGGGAAAAAATAAAAAAGCACAGACGGACCAGGACACTTAACCATTTTATACAAATATGAAGTAAATTTACATCTATCTTAGTTCCTAAATCAACGTCCCACTTGATCCTGCTGAGGTTCCACCTGTCAGAGAACTGACCACGGTTTTATTGTCCTCTAAGAGCACTGTGACAAAAGGCCATTTTTAAATCCCCATGAAATGCTCTTCTGCTTGATCTGTGGAAAGCTCAGCCTGCAGAATGTGCTTTGAAAGAAAAGTCCGGGTAAAATAGTCGCAACGTTCTGGTCTCCCTCTCAAATGTAACAGCAAGTGAGCAAAAACGATCATCACAAGTACACCCAGGACATGAAAATATATATTTTTATAATATATATAAAACGTCTTATTTAATCCAATATGTACACTTTGCACAAAAAAAGTTTAAGGAATGAGCTTCTCAGAAACGAAGATCCGCTTCACAGGGTTACATCCAAAAAGAAGAGGTGGGGATCACTCCAGATCTCTCAAAATGTGCACCCCTAAAACAAAGGGTCAAAAAAGGTTAACCTCCTTCCAGTACAAACATCTGCTGCAGTTCCAGATGCTTAAATCCACCGTGATCCATTTGGTCAGAGAGAAAAACAAAAATAATCTCAGTGGAAGTGTTGAAGCAGGAAGCCTCCTCGGTTTAGTAGATGACCTCGTAGACGGTGGCCTTCTTGTCACCAGATCCCGTCACGATGTATTTGTCATCTGCTGAGATGTCGCAGCTCAGGACGGAGGACGACTCCTTCGACTGAGGAGCAAACATTTAAAGTTACAACTGAGTCAGATTCATTTATTGTATTCAGTTTCAAGTATTCACTAAAGAAATTGCATTTCCTGCAAAAATAAAGTGTGAATGCTTATTGCTGAAGAACTTGCTGAACAACAGCTGAAATTAGCTAAAATGGAAGAACAAGCCTAAGTTAGCAGGAGAAAGCAGAAATAACACATATTTGCTGAATAAGGTTTAAATAAGCAGAAATGAGCACCAAAATTAAAAAATTAGCTAAAAAAAAAAGCTGAATTTAGCAAAAAATATAAAAATTAAAAAAAGGCTGCAAATTAGCTGAAAAGGCAGAAAGCATAAAAAACTACTAGAAGGAAGTGGAAGGAGATGAGCTCAAAACATGTGGAATAAGCTGAAAAAGCTAAATTTAACACAAAACAGCTTAATAGTAGCTGGAATAGCAGAAAAGGCTGAAACTAGCAGAAATAAGCCGAAAGGAAGCATAATAAGCTGAAATTAGCAGAAAGAAGTTAATTAGGCTGAAATTAGCATAAATTACTATGAAAAACTTGAATTTATTTGAAAACAGCTGAAATTAGCTAAAAGGTTAGCTGAAAAATTAGAACAAGCTTAAATTAGCAGAAGAAAACAGAAAGAACACATTTGCCCAATTAGACTGAAAAAAGCAAAAATGTGCACAAAAAAGTAGAAAATAAAAAAACTGCCGAAAAGTAGCTAAAAATGAGAAAAAGCTGAAATTACAAGGAGGAAGTTGAGAGCACATTTTTGCTGAATTAGGTTGAAAAAGTTTGTAAAAGAGCAAAAAATTGGAATTTGCTGAAAAAGCTTAAATTAGCATAAAAAATAGCTAAATAGTAGTTGAAATAGAAAAACAAGAAACTTGCCGGAATAAGCTGAAAGGAACATAAGCTGAAACTAGCAGAAAGAAGTTAGAAGCAGCACAAAAATGCACTGGCAGAAACGATCTGAAATGAGCAGAAAAAAGCTCAAAGAACAGCTGAAATGAGCTGAAAGTATCTGAAAAAAGTTTAAATTAACAAGGAAGCTGAAGCAGAACAAAATGTGAAAGGAGCAGTAAAAGGTTGTAAACAGGTCTAAAGATGTTAAGGATGTAAAACGAGATCAATTCATTTTATATGAGAAAAAAGGCAGAAAAGGCTAAATAATTTGAAAAGCTAAAGTTGCACCAACACCAAAAGTGATTGCAGGACTGTCCTGAAAGAGCTGAACGTTTTGATATTTGTTGAAACAGCTTGAAAACTGAGGGACAAGAATCGCCCCAAAAAATGTTTGGAAGAAAAATAGATCACAACAGTGTGAATGCTTCATAAACATTCACACTGTTAAATTCAGAAATATCCCAACAACTAAAAGTTGTGTACAGAAAAGGTAAACCACATTAAAAAAAGGAGAATGGTACAAGTATTTGATCTGTTATTCCAATTTTAACTATGGTCTTATCGATTTACAGTTTGGATTTTAAAGCTCAGACAAATCTCTGCTTTATTCACGCTTCTTCAAATTAAAGATCAGTTCAGCTTCACACCTGAGCCACTAAACAGATGAGGTTTCTATAACATTGAATGTTTTACACATTTCTTGTTTACTTCCCACTTCATTTTGTAGTTACCTGGAATATGCTGGCGCCGTAAGGAGTCCTCCATGCGTTCAGGAGGTTGTCCTTCCCTGTGCTCACAAACCATTTCCCTGCAGACACACATCACACATCTCAACACAAACTGGTGTCCACAGACACAAACATGGCCACCGCTGTGTCCCACAGTTACCGCACACATTTACTTCCAAAAACAGCAAACACCTGACAGTAGTAACCTTATCAATGACCATAAAAACACATCATGAAGGAGATTCACAACACTTCCAAGTTAATTATTCAAATGACCCACTGATTAATTACCCAGCTGACTAGTTGGCTGATGATTTAATTAGTGACAGCAAGAGCTCTGGAGCATCGAGAGACATTTAAATGAACCATTTGTGTGGTGACAGAGATACGAGGCTGTGCTTCAGAGGCAGAATTCATCATTTCAGCATTGATAAAATAGTAAAAGCATCTGGTCTGTCCAACAGGCACAGCTCATTACCATATTGGTAAAGCACTGACTTGTTACAGCAGTGAATGTGAAACTGAGAAATATAAACAAAATATGAAATACAGTAGTCCCTCGTTTATAGTGGGAGATCCGTACCCTGAAGCCCCACGATAAGTGAAAAACGGCAAAGTAGGAATAGTAGATATATAAAGGCCTCTTGTAAATAAGTCGGTTCTCTCTTGTAAATGAATCCTCGAGGCTCAATGGGACTAACCTGTATAAATAAAGGTTGAATGAACAAGGCGTTTTAAACCCTGCCCACACTCTTGCAATATTCTAAACAATGTTTCTAAACTCTAAATGCTCTACAAAAGCACAGAATGTCATGATTTAAGCGCTCTGCCTCGTCTGCTCTTTGCCACCTGCAAGCGCTCTTGACCACGCCCACTTCGCCGCTCTGCACACAGAACAGCTGATCAGCTGCAGCAGGAAGTTTATTCTGCAGTAAGGGCTGTACAAATGTGCAGCAGGTGCTAAATATTTGAAAATAATTTATTTTAAATAAAAATTCCATGCTCATCCATCAGTCAGCCAATTGTGTGTCACGTCCAATTTTATTTTGAAAAATCGCGATAGAGTGAGTCCACGATAAATGAACCGTAAAGTAGCGAGTACAGTCGCCCCTCGCTATATCGCGGTTCACTTCTTGCGGCTTCACTGTATCGCGGTTTTTTTTTAAACCCTTTTTTTTTTTAAACATTGTGTCTACTATACATGCTGTGCAGTACTGTACATTCATCGTCATCATCTTCATCGCCAAAGTGTTTAAGAGTATCGTCTTCTTTTGGCTGCCCCCTTCTTCAGGGGTCGCCACAGCAAACTATCTCGCACAAAATCATTAGTAGAGAGTGGGAAAGGTTTGTAGGAGTGTGGGAAGGGTTTATAAAGCCTTAAACCTATATAAATAATTAAATAGAATGCCATTACTTTGCAGATTTTCACCAACCGCGTGGGTTTCTGGAACACAACCCCCTGCGATAGGTGAGGGATCACTGTTTTTCAGTTTTTAATCTATTGTGGTTGGTAGTTTTGCTTCACCAGCATAAAAAAGGTTTGACAGCACTCATTGGACTGACCAGTACTAAGAACAATGGGAAAATCCAAGAAATCTAGTGAACTTCTAAACTTTAGAATTGTCGATTTACTCAAGTTAATTTATTAATTTTTTTTTTTTAGTTTGCATTCCAAGATCATTGGTTCAATCAAAGGTACAGTAAGAACGAGTTATTTAAATATTATCACTTTGCTTTGACAAGGTATGAAAGAAGACCCAAATTATCAGACTCAGAAATAAATTTGTTGGGAACCAGAAAAACTCCAGTCTGTCATGGAAATTGGAATGGTTTTAACACCGGTGTCTCTGCCCATGGTGAAGCCAGTTTTACATCACCATGGACCAAGAGGATTCTGACCAAGAAAGAAGATCCAGTTCCCAAAGTGACACCTTCAAACACAATGAATGTACAACAAAAAAACAAACAAAAAAAACTGTCTTCGTCTCATCTGACCATTAAAGTCCCTTCAAAAACTAATGTGGCTACATGACAAGAAACATGTTTTAAAGGAGTCTATATGATGGTCTTAAAGCCAAGACACTGTACCAACTATCAAGCATGGTAACAGAAACATCATGGTACAAGGGCAATGCACATTGTGGATGAAATAATGAAGGTATACCTCTGAATTCCTTAACTTGACCTCAAATCAACATCTAGGTGTTTGAAACTTGGGACACAAACAGGACAATGACCACAGACACACATCAGAACTGGTTTCTGAATGGCTAAGTCAGGGTGACATTTAGCTCATGGAATGGCCTTCCAAAAACTTTGACCTCAGTCTTACTGAAAATTTATGAACCACATAAAAAAAAAGTTTATGGCAGAAACCTAACCATTCTAAAAGGAACCATACAAATTCTCACAGGAATAGTGGTCAAAAGCCAAAAGCTTGTTCCAAAGTTTACAAAAGGTGTGTGGCCAAGGTGAAACTTGCCAAAAGACATTTAACCAAATAGCGGGGGCACTTTTATAATTTTTGACACTGCGTGGGAGGAAATCCACAATATATTCCAACTTGTGCACCCATTACTTGTTTTGAAGCTTATTGAAGTTGAATGTTGTAAAATCGTTCCACTCTGGAAAAAGAATGATTCAATAAAATCCTTCAAAGGTCAAAATTAACACGATATTCATGCCCACCGTGAGAATATGAGAACCTCAGACCACAGCTGTATACACCCTTGCCCAGAAGTGATTTTTTTTCCCGTCGGTCATTAGAAGAGCAAGTTGTATGAACAGAAAAGTGGAATAAAAATAAAACTGGCAGCAAAACCTGGTGGTTGCAAAAGGTGCTAATGGTACAATTTAGAAACTGCTGCACTGGAGATAATAAACATTTACCCTAATGTTCAAGATGTTAGTCTCATCTATGGAGTGCCTTGTTGTGATAGAAGCTTTTTTTTTTTTACTGTATATTCATTTGTGTGTTTGATGCTTAAATCTGACAACATTGTTCTTGTTTGTTAAACTGTTAAATGATCAGGTGTTCATTTCATACGTGTCTTTGCTCACACACATCAAGTAATCTCTTGAAGCATTTCTTACCGCAGTAGGCAAATTTGAGGGAGAGGACGCAGCTTTCGTGAAGATGCAGCTGGTATTTGTCAGGCTTTGTGTGATGGAGCACCTCCACGTTGCTGCTCTCCATCCCAACAGCCAGCCATTCTCCAGTGGGACAGTAGCCCAATGAGAAGATCTGCAACAACGACACAACAGAGACCTTAAAGGATGTCTGCTTCAAAGCTTAAAGACACATTGTAGTAAACGTCTCAGCGTGGGTTCATGCTCTAAAATGAAAAGTTGGATTGTTTAGCTTTTGTCTACCTGTGAGGTAAAATCGTGTTGCTGGAGCTGTCGGCCCTCTCTCAAATCCCAGGAGCGGACTGTGTTATCGAGCCCTCCGGTCCACAGTTTGGTCCCGTCATGGGAGATGTCGATACAGCTGGCTCCATCTGTGTGGCCCTGAAACTGCCTGGAACACACAAAACATAAATACTTTAAAAAATAAATAAAAAATAAAGGTAAATGCATTTTCAACTGACATTGAGTGATCGTGAACTCAGACATAATTTGATAATAAAATTATATTAATCGTACGGTAAGCCCGGCACCATTGTCCCCAATAAAATAAAAACTTTTACTACCATTAACTGAGCTACCTGTAGTAGTTTTACTTTGTAAAAGTAGTAATATCCTTTACTGTGAGGCTGTTTGCTGTGCAAGAATTCAGCCTACTACCCTTTCAATGGACATACTTGAGCAGAAGTATGGTTTAGAGATTTTATAATTTTCTTAAAGTTAAAGCAGATGCTTTGTGCCTGAGGTGTTTTGGTTTCTAATTTGGTTTGATCCGTGTCAGAAGACTTTAAGCAAAAAAAAACCTGCCAGGGTCCAACGACATTTCTATGTGCATGTATTATATTTGTACAATTAGATGGGCAAAAAGTGTGCATGTTAAGTAAAGCACCCTCTGGTCTTGTGCTAATTCTGCAAAATGCTTTACAATATAAAGTGTTTCTCATTCACACAGGCACTCTTAGTTTTATTTTTCTTCATACCAATGTCTGTAGTGCTTGTGTAACATAACCTACTCTAAAAAGCAACAATGATGGATCAAATCTGTATTAGTTGAGGAGAAACGAGTCTAATTTTACTATCAAAACGATAAATGAGGTCATTACATCACCTGTTTATGTCACTTCTGTTAACATAAAAGACATTTATGGATAATTGATGACATGTTAGCAAGTATTTGAACCACTGAACCTGTAGTTCAGTTTATAGAGTCCAAGGACATTTGAAATCTGATGATGTAATTGTCTACTTTTACTTCAAACCTAAAACTGCTAAAATATAGTCCCTCAAGCAAAGTAATCACCTGACAAGGGTCTGGTTATGGAGGTCCCACACAGCGATGTTCCCATCAGAGCAGCAGGAGAAACAGACCTTGGCATCAGGGCTAATGGCCAGTGCGTAACAGGCCGGAGCAGAGGAAGTGAGCTCGGCCTTTATGCGGGGCGTCTGTGAGGCCAGGTCCCAGATGGTCAATGTGCTGGCCTCACCGCCCACTATTAGGGTGCGGCCATCAGGCAACAGCTTGCAGGAGCGGATGTAATTGTCTCTGTTCTGGAAATAAAGGCAGACTTTTGTCAATCTTAGAAACTGGATGCAGTTTTCTTTTCAATACAGATAAATCTTTAAAACTGTTTATAATTAAAAGTCAATGATACAGTCAATTCAAATTGTGTTGAATAAAAACAAGAAAAGTAGTACACTTCTGTGCATTAATTTTAAATATTTTCTTTCACAGGGTTTTTTGTTGTTGTTGTGGTTTTGAAGCAGCTGACCGTTTCATGTTAGTGAAGATATGAATGTCAGCCTTAACAAGAGATACAGAGACAGAGAGAGTAAGGCTGCAGGCAGGAAGAGCCAGGCTCTGTGAGAACAGCAAGACAAATCAACAGCACTACAGAAACTATTGGTCAAATTAAAACAACACCCTAATGGCTTTATAAAGCCAAATAGCACCCTAGATACACCTAACGGGTGTGGGAGGCCATATGAGCTGAACGGCGTGGAGCCACAGTATCAAAATGAGAAACGGGAGGCAGTTTGGAGGAAGTAATGAGCTGGGTAATGGCAGACAGGGTTGGCCAATCAGAACATCATTACTCAGCAGGCTTTTTTCCCTCCGCGAAGGACAATTTCAGCACAGCAGTGAGACATTTTACTGAATAATTCACATCTTTTATCTTTTAGGATCTGTGGCCAGCTGCATCGAGAAAATTCAGAATAAAAGGAGACTACTCATAGATGTAATGAAACAGTACATTGTGTCTCCACCATGGTTGAGATCGTTAAAACGTTTACTGTGATAACATAATTTTAAAGTCACTTTGAGCAAATACTTGTCGTTTTCTCTTATATGCTTATAAAACAGCAACGACTACTGACCAAGCAGTCAAGTTGGGAAACTGGGCTCTTGCTGCCTGGTTGGCTGATGTCCCAGATCTTGACGCAACCTTTGCCACCGGTGTAAACGTGACGTGTGGGGTTGCTGATAGTGACTGCACACACCACTTCCCCGTGGCTCAGTGTGTTGATCTGGCGAGCGTGACGTGGGATGCCCGGGCCTATCAGTGCATCTGGAGGGAAGGGCACGGGCTGCATCTGACCATCTGCACTTACATGAAAGGAATAAGCTCTGCAGGAAAAAAAAAAAAAAAGAAGGTAAAAGTCAAATAAAATTGAGTTTAAAATCTAGTGAAATGCAAATGTCTCTCAAGGCTAAATAAAATGTGAATACGCACGGTTTTCCTCCTGAAATTGAAGTGAGACTTGCTGGAAGGCCGGGAGCTCTCATGTGAGGGTGAGGGTCAAACCCTGCCTGCACAAAAATAAATAAATAAATAAATAAATAAATAAAAATAACCATTTACCTACTAAAACATAAATGAACCAAAGTTTATATTCAAATTATGGCCATTTCATAATCCAAAGTACTAACATATGAAGGAACGTCAATCCACCGTTTCCATGAAAAAGAGGCAGATTGAGCTTCACTGTGTGCAGAGAAACTTGTTTCATACAGAAAACTTTATTCTAAGGCTGGGAGATCTTCAGACAACCAGAACGCTAAATAACAAATTACAAAAGCTGCTGAGCTGTTAGTTCTCACAAACGTCACCACAGCTGGTGAAGACGTGTTAAATTACAATCAATTATTTTAGGTTTTAGGAGAAGTAACAACACTACGTTTCTCAAATTCACCTCTTGGCTGAAATTATTATATATTATATATATTTGTATGTATATATAAAAACCTGTGGTAGTTACAATTGGTGAGCGTCCATAGGCGGCAGCAGCTGCAGCACTCATCTGTGGTGAAATGAGTCCTGGATACATGCCAGGACTGGTTAGGGAGCCATTCATGTCATGATGACCCATCATGGCAAATGGGGTGGCATAAGAACCAGCAATTGACAGAGGTGTCCGCAGAGCTGGGGCAGCTGAAGGAATAATAAAATAAAAAACTTTAAACAATATACTCTGACAAAAGTTTAATTTACAGGAATTAACACTAAAATGCCTGTTAAGGACAGCAAGTGCACTACTTTAAGCTTGTAGTGTCTGTTTCATCAGATATTATTAAAGACCTTGAACATCATTTGATTGCTTAGATATCTACTCTGTAAACTGACTCGGTGAAAAATGGCTTATAAAACCCAGAGTAGTCATTTATTACCTAGTGCCTCCATCCCAGGTGGTTTGCCCATAGGTAAAGGGCGGAGTCCTGGAGTAGTACTGGTTCCTGGTGTTGGTGCTTCATTCCTCGGAGTGGGTGTGTTGGACTTGAGGCTCGGTGTTGATGACTTGTCATTCTATAACAAAGATTTGTTTCAGTCTCAGGGTATGCTCTTACTGAAACTTCAAAGTTCCTTTACTCTCACTCAAATGTGCACCTGGACACCATTTAAACCACTTCTAGGTCAACATTTAAAATCCCCTCATGAGTCAAAAATTCACAGACTGGCACAGAAATCCAGAGTGACAATCTGAGAGGCCTGCCTGCATACATTCAGTCCAACACAAACACTTTATTACTATTACAGTCATAACGTAATACTGTGTGTGAGAGTGAAAATGCACAGGGACATAAACCTTTGAAAAGAAGCCATGTTTGTCAGGAGAAGCTACAAGTGGAGAGAGATGTTCTTTACAGCTGGGGCTTCTCTACAGGTAAGATAGGGGTAGAAAACGTGGATCATAAATGTATTCAGAGCTTCATTAAAAGGTTTATATTTACCAACTTTAAAACCCGGTTAGGGAATGGCTTAGTATTATAGACATTTTGGCTTGGAAGGAGAGAAGACGAGACAAAATAAAGGACAGCAGTTTACCTGCTGCTGGGTCTCTGGGTTATTTACAGCCTTGGGGTGATGGAAAAATGATCATTTACTGGGTAAGCCATAAAGAAGATGGATAGGACAGAGCCATTGGGTTTGATATCCTGAGAATACATCCACCTTCTGCTCTGTCAAAGCCTACATAGCAGTCAGCTCCTAAGTCCCACTTCACTTGACAAATGTCCTTTAGTCTGTCAATCCAGGCTTCAGCCTTTCACTGTAACCGCTGCATTTCATCCTCCTGCTACACTCACATGGGTGTGGTCCTTTGCCTTTGAGGATGGCGTGCTGCCTGAAGAGGCGACGGAAGCGGGGCTGTTGGGGGCAGCATCCTTCTTCAGCACTCGTGACTTATCCAGGCCATTTTCTGGAGGAGAGTGGGCAGGGCTGACTCGAGGGGTTGCTGGATCCTACAGAGTTAAACGAGACAGACAGAGAGCAAGACTGAGCAAACAAACCCGAGGAAAGCCACTGGCATTTACATGTAGGTCAAACAAGCTAGGGCCTCATGTGCAAACACAGATAAATACACTATGTATGCTCATACTCTCCCTCACACACATGCATGCACTTCTCATTCACCTGTCACACCCTTTTCTCTTTGTATTCTTTGTCTTAGATTCTGCATGAATAGCAAAAGGAAATTCAGCAAGTAAATACACATTCAAAGCACACAATCAATATTATGACAGACTTTTTGGCAACACTGCGAAAGGTGTCGAGGCTTCTACAGACAAAAGGGAGCCGTGTTTGGTCTCTGCAAAGCCTTTATTATGAAGAATGTGGCCGATCGGCTTAAACCCCCATCTTACCTCATTGGAGACGTCCACCACTAAGTCATCACTTTTTTCTCCATCGCTGTCCTGAAACAAAGAAAATACCAGGTTCAGTATAAAGAGGCGAATACATAAACCATGCTACTTACACCAGTGCACTACATTTTTACAACGGTTCAATCACAAAAATTCAGACGTCAGATTTATGAACAGATGTGTTTGTTTTCTATTCAGAGAAGATGGATCATTTATTTTACAAGTTTTACTATGCCATAGCAGCAGGCTTTCCTAGTTCCAGGAAGTTATGTACAACGCATCAATGGTTGTAAACACTAGAGTAGAAATTGTAATTTATTGAACTGCATGCATTTTTAAATATTTACTTAATTTATTGTGCAATGAATAAAACCTTCATTTCCATGAATCTATCTTAAAAACCCTGTGATTATCTGAAATATTTACAAGGAGAAAGATGTCATTAGTTCACATGAAATTAATAAAATTTGACTCCACTGTTGATTAATGCTTTATGACAGAAGGTTGTATGTAAATTTATCTCCCTGCTTCATTGGGGGCTGAGATGGGGTGGAGGCAGGGCAGCTGACTCAGGACCACAAAGTCCCAGGCTCAATCCCCAGCCATTCCTGCACGTTGTGGTATGCAAGACACCCAATCCCAAATAGCTCCCCGGGCGCCTACATTGCTGCCCACTGCTCCACCTGGGTGTATCCCAGGTGTGATGGGTTAAATGCAGAGCACCGATTTTGCCATTGTATGATGATGACAATGATGACAACACATAGCACTGCACTTTATTTATTTATTTTTATTGAGCCCTTGCTTTATAAGACACTTCTGTCCTAAATGTTGGGACCTAAATGGGACCTTGAGTACACAATTTTGTTCCACCTCATGTACCACATGTGATGCGAATGACAAAGAACCTTGAACCTTGAAATGATGACATGTTTTAAAAAATGACAAGGTCAAAGTTAGAACAACTTCCAAACGAAGTTCAAGACCTCGAAGAGCCGTAAACTCTTCCCAAACACAAACAAAAATAATAAACACAAACTCACATATCCTCGGTTGCTGTCTTTGTCGTCCACTTTGCGTTTCTTGGAGTCAAGGCCGTAATCTGAAGAGCTGCGGTGCTTCTCGCTCGCTACTCGCAGGCTGTCTGAAGGCGACACCGAGTTATTCTGCCACAAACAGTGCACAGACCACGTCAGACAATCCTATTCAGGCAGATTAGTATCCTAAAATGTTAGCAGTGCACGATAAACAAACAGTGCAGATACAGGTTTTGTGTTTGCGTCAACTAGTTTTACTGTCCTTTAGTTAGATATTTTGAAACTTAAAATGCAGAATGTGAAAAGCCTTCAAAAAATGAAAATAGTTAAATAAAAATTAATGAATGAATAAAAATGGTGTGTATACATCCTGACATGTCTCTTGGGTACTTTTTCCTTGTCAGATTAGTAATAATATTGACAGTAAAGCAAAATGCACAATGCTCCTGGACCGATTTGGGAAAGAGGGGATAGAAGAGGATTCTTGGAAAGCTTAGTCCTGTCACTGCTGCCAACGCAGCAGAGCAAAGAGGAAGCAAACAAGGCAGCTGAGAAAAACCACAAAACAAGAGACCAAAAAAATCTATCTGGCAAGGTGACTTGTAGGCAGAGTGAAGGTGGAGAGAAAACAAGAACACACACAAACTGACACTACTACATCCTAGAAACTCACTACATCCTGGTGAAATCCCAAAATAAACCTACACCATTTCAATAGTGTACATGCTGCAGTCCAGACAGAGACATGCAAAACCAATTGGCTACACTCTGTAAACACAAAACACTTAATAACTGCTTATAGGTCTGTGTTGTTAAAGGTCAAGACTACAAAAAAGACCAACAACAAAGTTCATGAAAATCCTCCAGAGGAGAAAATCAAGAAAGAGGCCATTGAGTAACCCAGAACAAGAGAGCAATGTGATGAGACAAAGAGGGTGTTGCCTGCAGAGAAGAGCCATGAACGGACCAGACTGAGAAAATTAGAGGAAAAGAGACAAGAGACTAAAACAGGAAAGGAACTTGGCAGGCAATGAGAGCAGAACAACATGCCAATGAGTTTTCCCCACTAGCAGGAATGCCCAGAAAGGCTGGCACCTTCTCAGAAGCTGCAAACAGGGTTTTTTGTAGTCTGGGAGCTGGTGAGGTGTGGTGGCACAGCCATTCAGGCTGAAAGGCAAAAACTGGATGGGTGGGGGTGAAGACAAGCAAACCTTGATGCCAGTTCATAATGAGAACGCTCAACAAATGTCTGCAATCATCAAAAATGGAGCCACGTGGTGAAAGAGAAAGAAGGGAGATGTCTGACTCTTGAGACCCCCTGAGCGAAAGAGACAAGAGTTGAACTATTTAACTGTGATTGAGCTGCTAATGGTACACTCTCAGACCACCTCCTTCACAAAGAGTCACTTTTTCTGTCTTCTTCTCTGGGCAAAATATGGGAATTTGTTCAGCTGCCAGAACGAAAGTCTGGCTTAGTGTGATGCTGTCTGTCAGACAAAAATCTCTTACAGCATTACAGCTCGTCTGTGTATCTGAGCCTGAAACCTTTCAAGGATTGCTTATTCTCAGTAACCCTGCACTTCCCTTCAACTGAAGTATCAGATGACCCGAGACAACAGAACAGGAAGACTGAGTGTGTGTTTGTGTGCTAAACAAGCGAAGGAGAGGAGGGAGGCTGGGAGATCAGGTACGGTGCTATTGGCAGCCGCTTGTCACCAAATGAGAAGGGGGAAGAGTTTGGGTTCCCTCCTGACATGAGTGGGCCCATTCAGGATGGCCAGTCAATGGGAACCTAATCTGTTTGAGCGGATTCAACAGAGCGTTACGCTCCAGCTAACTGAGAGGTTTGAGCCAGTCCAATAAACAAGGACTTCAACATAAGAACCAGAGATAGGGACAGCACAAGACAGAGGATGAAAAAGGTGATGGGAACAGGTTAATCACTGAGGCAAAGCAGGAAATATTAACACACACAAAAGAAAAATGCATAAAGAAGAATATTAACAAATGTATGTGTATTGGGACACACACAACTTAAAATCTTCTAAAGTAGTAAAAGAAAAAGAGTCAAAGTCATTTTTAATTGTGCTGAAATTAAAGAAGAGTACTAATCCTTGTTCAGTGATTGGAGTCATTTTCCACTCAGATTAGATGGAACAGCTTATTTGGTCAGAAGTCATTTGAATTCAGTCAGCTCCCCCCACCCCCACTCTCAGAGTACAAAAATGTGTGTGTTCTTACATAGAGAGAATGAATTTATATTGAACAGTGGGTTTATGTCCATGTAAAGTACACTATGACCAAACACAGTGATCCAGGAACATGCAAAGTCAAGAAAGGCACAGGAGATGGAGAGCTGAAGAGTCAACGTACCGTGCTGGACTCTCGTTCTTTCAAAGGAATAGGCAGGGGCGAATGAAAAGATGAGGGGCCAGGAGGGAAAATGAAAAACACAAATTAGTATGGAAATAACGACGGCGTTGCAATCAAAGAGAATAAATAAAATTACTCATTTATCCTCAAACAACTCGCATTCGAAACTTGGTGTGCTTATGTTTTCTAAACTTACTAATAAGGTAATAACTGGAAAAAATGTCTGCCTTCTTGTACCATTTATTCATTTGATACCACTTTAAAAAACAGTACCAGGCTATTATGGAAGCTAAAACATGCTCGATCAGCTCTGATTGATCAATTCATACAGCTTTAATGAATAATTTAATGATCAGTAAAGCCACAATATTACAAAGTGATGTTAAAAACGACCTATAAATAAAAACACACACCGTGTTATCTTTTTATACGAAAAAATTATATATTTGTCCAGCTCCTCACCTCGGTGCTCCAGGTCATGGTGGTTCTTCTCATCCTTTACAGGCAGGTGGGCCTGGCTCCCAAGAGCGCCCAGAGCCAGCAAACCGGAGCCAGCACCTGTCAAGGGTGGGATGCCAGGCGGCTGCAGGCCTGAAGGGTGAGGGGGTAGCTGGACCGGGGGGCCGTGGGCAGCGTGAGAGAGGTGCTGTGCCTGAAGCTGCTGCTGCTGTAAACAAATGCCCAAAGACAGGAGACAAGACAGAGGACAAGTAGGTCAGCTGAGAAATGACTCCATGAACGACCACGCTCTGCACATGCATTAGAGCCGGCTTTGGAAACATTTAGCTCAAAACCAAACTGTTTACTGTCAACAGCAGATTAACAGTCGCTGCCATCGTGCTCCTGCAGCTCACTCACTGGATGATAAGAAAATAATTCTGTCCACAGCTGTCTGTACAGGAACACTACAGAAATTATCTGCTTCAGAGAGCATGATGGCAGGATACAGCACAAAAACCTTTCTATCCTTCATTTTCCTAGGTGTTTAACATACACGAATGTCAAAATGTTAGTCTAGAAATAACAAAGTTACAGAGAGAAGCATGTTCACAAGTTAAAACTGTACAATTTGTTACAAGCACAGAACGAGTACGGTATTTTATACACATTAATGTTAAAAAAGAACAGATACAAAGGAAGCTGCAGGTTTCTAGGCAACAAATGACATAATATTGTCTGATGATTAATTACAGAAGTCCCTCACTACGTCGCGGTTCAACATTCGCAGACTCGCTCTTTTGCTGTTTTTCAAAGTAAGAGTGGACATGACACACAATTGGCTGATTGGATGAGCCACACGAGTGGCATGAATTGTTTATTTAAAATAAAATATTTTAAATGATTTAGCACCTGCTGCACCTTTGTGCAGCCCACAGGTACAGGAAGAAGCCCCCTCTGTAGCCTGTCATGATCTCCGCTCTCTGCCACCCACACATTTCTCCTCCAGCTGAAGCAGCTTCATGAAGGGTCAACCCTTTGCTGCCCTGCTTTTTCATTCAACTTTTATTTAAACAAGTTAGTCCCGTGGAGTCACAAGGACTCATTTACAAGAGACCTGGAATCCCTTTGCTGTCCTGGTGCACTTTTCTTCTCTACAATTTAAATTTAAATACTGGAATTTTTTAAATAAACAATCCATGCTGCATTGTTTATTGAAAATATTAAAGTATTTAAATTTAAATTGTTTATTTACACAGAAGGAGGGAGATTGGGAGTGAAACTTGAACTTGGACTACTGTATCCTTACTTCACCGTTTTTCACTTATCACGGGGGAACCTAGTCCCCTAAACCTTGTTCTAAACAAGGGACTACTGTATTATAAGAAAACAAAAATAACGTATAAATACCAGGAAGTAATATTCTAAACTAAAGCCATGTCTTTCATATTATTAAACATGCATTGCATTAGAAATGTTACAAAAATTAACAAAATGGATAAACAGTTCTTAAGAATGGTGCAAAATGTTTGAATTTGACAAACAGAGGTCAAACATATTTGATCTTTGATGCTCAATTGTATATAAAAATTGCTTTCTGTTAGCCTAACAGTTTTAAACACTAATTGAAGAAGACTAAAATCATTAAAACAGCTTTGTGCAAAGGTTTTTAAATGAATGAGAACTTTAACCAGGCTTATTCTGGAATCCTGGATTCTGTTTACGATCCCCCCACACATTGTGCTTCTCTCTCTTAATAGTATGCAACCTTAAAACAATATGTTTTGATTCAACAACGCAGCACCTCTGACCATCAAAACTGATCAGAGTTTTGCTCAGTCCCAAACCACTGTGTTTCAGTCATTGATTAAAAATAATAATAAAAAAAGAACTCAACAGGTCTACTTTTAAGAACTTCAATATCCTTCAACGCCCTGAAAAACCAAGAAAAAAATTCCCTCCTCCAGCAAGAATACTGCTACGCCTACCAACAGTTGGGAACACAAACATCTCCCAAGAGGCCATGAATGTCTGTGAGAGGCAGCCAGAGCGAGGAGAGTAGATAGACGGGAGTTAAATAGCCACTCAGGCAAGAGGGAAGCAAGTGCTTTAAAACGAGGTTAAATAACACTTAGCACATCCATCAGCTGCCTCTCCAAAAGCAAGGGGGGAAAAAAGCCGATTGCTATTCTGCTTGTAAGATTGAACTTCAATAACCTGATCCATACATTCATTACATAAAATGGAGAAACTAGACCTTTGTATAAACTGTGGCTTACCACATTTAAAAGTTTATTCAGTAGCTGCTCATTATTCAGTCAGCTCATTATGTCGAGTTGGACCTGAAATTGTCTGATGGATGCTAGCAAAAGGGCAGCATTGTTAATCGATATTGTACTGGTGTGTGGAGCAGCCTCTTTGTTGTAAAAAAGGAAAAGCGGGCAAAAAAAACGAGAAATAGAAGGGCCAGCCAGAACAAGATGAGGGGGGAGAAGCGAATCACAAAAATAACAGGAGAATAAAAGACAGAGTGGGCAAAGGATTGAGGCAGAGACGTCCCTATTGAGTGTGCCTAATGAGGAAAAGCATGCAGGGATCATTATCAAGAAGCCTCATTAGCGTGCTATAGCTGAGGAGAAGAGAGACGGGGGGGGGGGGGGGGGGGGTCGTGAGAGGCAGACAAGAAAAAAAGCAAGGCAATAATTTTTGAGGGGAAAATAAATCGCTTCCAATTCAATATTCATGAATAAAAAGTAAAAAGCTTTCTTTCACACGTATCTTTTTTCATTATGTGTAAATGCTGCAGCGGTTTCTGTAACTTCCACAGGAAACAGGCAATTAAAGTTAACTAGGCGACGCTGGCTCCCTGCTGAACGGTACTGTCAGGTGGAACAAGCATCAACAGCACCGGCAAAAACCAGCTGGAAGACCGACTAAAGTCTGGCAATGATCACCACGTTGCCTGCTGTGCCTCACAACAGTTTTGTAGCTCATCATATTTTCGTCAGTAATTTGTACAAAAATAAGACAACATTATACAATAAAAACAAACAAAACTAGAACAGAGAGACACAATGCTTTTGTGTTGGGGCTATAGCGCTATACTATAGCTACAGACAAATGACAAGAACATAATACCAAACCCAAGTTGTCCTTTGTTCTCTAAAATCGTCTACCTTCACTAAAACAGATAAAGCAATCATACAAATCTGAACTCTGACCATAAACATATGGTCTATGATCAAAATTATATATCTACCAGTATATTGATTTCTACTTTTAACAATCACAATAATAAAGTAATGAACTAAATTTTTTTTGTCACATTCTGCTTTACGTATATATATATATATATATATATATATGTTCTGTATTTAATACAGTAGCCTACATTTGAAATACTATTTTTCACTGTTTATTAAGTTTAACAAGAATAAATAAATAAATAAATCGCACAGAAGGTACTGTTTGTTTTTAATGTAATAAATGCAAAGTGTTTATAAATTCCCAGAGCAATCGTCCTAAATAACTGATTTCAATAACAACCATAAAAAAGTGATTATATTTTTTCCATAAACAAGCAGCCCATTAGGCACTAGAAGGTGTCCATTACTAGAGGGCCAAGCAGAGAAGAAAGGGAAGGGATTCAGCCAACAGTGACATTAAACTACTTGCACAACTACATTATATGGCCCTGTTCAGACCAGGAACTAACATCTGTCATGGGAGATTTAACCGATAGCGGACAGCTCTGATTGAGAGCATTCACACCCTCCAGTCAAATGTGCATCCTAAGACTTTGTTGTGATTGGATATCAATGACTGTATGCAGATACACTTTCAACCAGAGCTGTCAGATCTGAAAACTTCCCCGCAGTAAAACAGCAAGCTGTTCGACAGCTGTGAGCACACCTTGGGCATTGTGTTTATATAGATGATTATAATGAATCGTCGTGTTGCTCAGGTGGTTGTTCTTTGATTGATAAAGCACACCAGCTATGTTTAAAGGGACATAAGTAATCGGATTAAACAGTCATTCAGAATAAAAATGTGCCATGTAAATGCCCCATTTGGATTATTCTGAGCCGATTTAGCTCGATCCGAATGAATTTGTAATCCAAATGAGAGGGGTGGTTCATGCTGATTCATAACCTGTACGGTGTGCATGTAAACACTTAATCTGATCATTTTATTCCAATCGTGGAAAACTGAGCTGACTGCGCATGTGCGACCTATGTCTGCCTGATGTATCGCTGCCTGGCTAGATGCTAATATGTTGGGGAAGCAAAACTGGTCAGTGAGCGATACAACATTTCTACTGGAAACTTTGCAAGAGCTCAAAATTATCTGTATTACCTGTAGCTCAATCAGGGAGTGCAGTAACGTCTCCACCATCATTAAACATGGTGCAGATTCATTTTGGGCGCTCAGATTTGTTTACGTTCATCACGGAAGTAGAACTTGTGTGGTGTTTTTAAGGAAAGTTTACCACTCTATGCATATCAGTAGTCCTATTCTGAATTCATTCATTAATTCAACTTTTATTTATACAGGTTAATTCCATTGAGCCTCGTGGACTCATTTACAAGAGAGACCTGATTTTAACAGAGTGATGACAACAGTGTACAACAACGACAATAAATAATAATAATAAATATATAATTAAATAGAATAAAAGCCTGCTGTATGTAAACGCTCGTCGTGAACAGATTGTGCCCATGTAAATGATACATTTGAATGATTTAATCTGAATACATTTCAATCCGATCAAAGAATTTTGCGCATTAAAACATAGCTACTGTAGCTTACAGTAACCACAGAGGGTTCAATCAGCTCTAAAAACAATCTGAACACAAACAAAGTCATCACAGCGAGTCCTGGTGATCCACTTTAACTCTGCGTGTGTGTGGGGTCAAGTCAGGTCAGTAGGTGGTCCTACAGCTTGGCTCAAAAAGGTTTCCTGTTCAGACGACCAAACATGCAGATTAAAAGGTCTAGACCACCTCTGAAGGGGGTCTGAAGATGCTTTTAATGTGCATTATGGGCAACTGTATTTAAGCGCTATTTGAATATAATGTGATTGCTCAGGATGGATTGTAATGCTAGAGCCAAACAAAGTCCACATTGTGTGACAGAAGACCAGCGGTCAAGTGGGGAAAGTTGAGAAAAATATTCCTTTGTCCTACCAAAAACACCCACAGTTTTAACTACAGGTATTATTTTACATAG